TTTGATAAACTGTGATGAGTTAGCGAGAATATCAGTTCTGAAGGCACTCAAAGTCTCCAGATTTACAATTCCTCCACCTACCACACAAACCATCTGCACAGTCTCCTAACCTGCTGAATTTGAGAAAACAGAGGATGTGCAGAATGCACCCTGCACAGGAAAACCTTTCCTATGAAACACTCTAGACTATGTTGATTAATACTTGCAGTGCCCTTTCAATGCTTCTTAATGAATATGCTAATGTAAATAGGATGCTTTGTCTTGAGTTGTTAAAGGATGTTTCCTGTCTTGACTGCCTGGGACAGGAAATAACCAATTCAGAGGATGAATATGAATGATAAATGCTTGGCCAATAGCTCAGGCTTGTTACTAGCTAATTCTTACATTTAAATTAACCCATTTCTGTTAACCTATGTATTGCCATATGGCTCATGGCTTTATCTGTTCTCTAGCATGTCTTGCTTCCTGGGCAGTTTGCTGGTGTCTCTTCTGACTCTGTCCTCCTTCTTCCCATTATTCTCAGTTTGGCTTTCTTGCCTAACTTCCTCCCCAGCTACCGTCCTGTCAGCTTTTCATTAACCCATGAGAGTAATACATATCTATAGTGTAGAAAAGGATTGTTCTACAGCATTGACCATTAAAACTACCAGGGACAGCTATGAGTGCAGTCTAAAACTTACATGAAAACCTCATTTCCACTATGTTCTGAGTTGAGACACAACTTGGAAGAGGTAAATAAAGGTCAACAGTATACTCAAGACTTTTAAATTAACAAATTAAAAGTCGCTTTTGAGGTATTAGCTACGAATTCACACCACATTCACATGAAGCCATCCCTCCCGAGGGGTTTTGAAATTTTTCTAGTTAATGAGAGAGTATACATTAATGGGCAGATGGAGCATTCAGCTGGAATTTAGGGAGCTTAGGTTGTAGCTGGATTGATCTATGGTTTCCTCCACTACTTTCAGCACTCTCCACTCCCGTGTCTCTCTCTCCATATCTGTTAAAATGGGATAACTGGAATAATCAGATAATGAGATGGAAATGTTGTTCCATGGTAGAACAGTTGCCCATCATTCATGAAGAACCAAGCTGAATTCCACTATGTCAAAACAACAAGGTTAAAAATTTGAAATTTTTAATCTTGCTGTTTTGTTCAAGTTTTGTCTATGATCTTGTATGATCTTTATTTAAAATCATTTTATTACATTTGATTGATTACATGTATCGATAGGTATGCATATGCCACAGCCTGGTCCCAGTCCTGGTCTGTCTACCACAGGGAACTTGGGGATCAACTCGAGTCCATCAGGCTTGGAGGCAGGCTCCTTTCCTTTCATATTGATGTGTCTCATTAGAACTAGCTTCACTTTTTATGCTCTCCGCTCACTCAGCTCACATATACCTTGGAATCCCACCATAAAGCCTAACGCCAGATAAAAATATGCATTCAGTAAATCCTTTAAAAACATGCAGAAACATAGTCTTGGACTAGGATATAAATACCCTTCAAAATTTACCACTCAGGAGCTCTGAAACAAGCCCCCTTTCTTAAATAATAAACATGAGATGCCATTTTAGAATACAGAACTCCTTGAGATACTGAGCAAATCTCATTCTGCTAGGTTGACCCTTCCCTAGATGCAGAGCTTGACCTTCATGTAGGAGGCACCAAGAGCAGAGCACGTGGGGACTTCCTGGATTCTCACTCTCCTCTCTTGGCTGGGCCCTATGGCTTCTGATTTATTCCTGCATTAGAGAGAAGCAGAATGCACTTGAATATAGAGGCAGATGGTAGCTCTGAGGTGCAAGGGATCCTTGTCATAGGAATATCATTGGAGGGAGGACAGGAAAGGGGTTTTCTGCACAGCTCCCATGTCCTCAGATCTCAGAAACATTAAGAAGCCCTCAGAATGTATTTAGAATATGTCATAGAATTATGACACCATTCTTATTTACTCATCATCCCTTATACCATTTGACAGTAGAAATATGTTTTTCAGTCGTATTGAATATGGTCTTTTGGATAAGTCTGAGCTCTCTGAAATGAGAGCCCATAAATTCCACGGGCACAGGCATGAGATTAGAGGCTTATGAACATTTCTCTCAGCTCACCAAATTTCTTTCTATATGGAAAGTACAAGGAGCTCCATATAATTCATGGGGCTCATGGTTTTCCTTGTGGGAATGTAAAATTAACTTGGACTACTTTTTTTTTTTTATGAGATCAAATGTATATAGCTAGACTTACCTGATTTTTTTCACTCTATGAAAAAAATTGGCTTCCTGTTAATTGCATGTGTAGTCTCAAAGCTCTTTATAGAATCTTTCATAAGTGATATTAATAGTAATGGTAGATTTTTTATTAATAATACATAATAACAATAGCTCTCATTAAAACAACATCAGTTAAGTGATTAGAGAAATGTTTAGAGTTGTGGTTAGGAAATGGTCCTGTAGACATCAATCCTGCTGAAGTCATTTATTTTTTTTCTTATCAAATAGAGACAGCTATAATGACCGATTAAGAGCTTAATAAAATTCTGCCCTAATTGCATAACTGTGAACTGGGGGTTTTGTTTGTGGGAATGTCCTGTGGTATCTCATGATGAGGTTTCCCCAGGAGAAAGAGCAGAAAACAAAGGATCATTTGCAAGCTGCTCCTAAGTGCACCATGGCTTTCTTTTTTCTTCCTGCACTGTAGTTACTACCATCAGTAGTGGAAATGAGCAGGCTCCTGTCTTTTAGTCCCAGCTTTGTTATCCAATGCCAAGTGACCCTATGACAATGTTTTTGAGGTTTGGTTTCTCAAATGTGTCAAGTGAGGATTATGACTACTTGGTAGAAATTTGATTTTGATTGTGCAGAAACAATACTAGCTAGTGTTCTACCGAATTGAGACTCCCTGGCCATTCTCACCTTCGTCCCGAGGCTCTCGTTTCCAGGGTTATTATGTTGTGCTTATGCAACTTCTCAGGCACAGCGAGGCCTCCTGCAGGCATACAGGCTAAGCTTAGAGGACCCACACTCCACCCACTTCTCTGCTTTCTCTTTCTGTCTACCTCTAGACAACTGACGATAAGCAAGATCAATAAAATCATAGTAAGATGAATGCTGGAAAGCCAGGCCAGCTCTGGATTCTTTCTTCCTGGTTACTTTCTTCCTTATATGTGAACATATACTAAAATAGGTATGAAACCATATATACAGTAAGAAGCACAGATGTTAAAATTCCAGAATGATCAATACAAGGTAGAGGGGCCATGATGAGAAACAAACACACTAAGAAAAATGTGGTAGAAAGTTTACTGAAATTCAGGATGAAAATTTTAAGCCCTGAGCTTGTAGGCAGAGAAAACAAAGTGGGTAGCAGTGAAAGTATTTAGGGGCGATGAAGTACCTAAAATGTAACTCTTAAGAAAGAACATTGTATATATTATGTATATATAATATAAAATTATATGTATGTATATAAAATATAAAATTATATATTCATATTCCTAGGTGGATAAGTTGGAAAGTTAATAATATTATTACATTTTAAGTGAAACTGAGTCTTCATAAAGCTTTGTCAAAAAAGTATTAAGCACTAATAAAATACGATCTGACCTAATTTATATTGAGGCTCTAGGGAAATTTGCAGTTTTACAGTGCTCTCTGATCTTAACCCTCACAAAGTCAGCATTGATGTGGTCAGGCAGGAAGGAGGCTGACCTAGTGGGCAGCAACCAGAATACTTGTTTGGCACCTGCTTTGGCTTGCCATGTGTATTTTCCCCGCTCCTGGATGCAGTGTGCCTTTGGTGAGTCTACTCCCTGTGACCTGTGGTATTTGGAATGAAGATTCATAAATGGAGATATGAGTCTTGGAGAGAATGGTCCAAAATCTATTCATCTTCAGCTAAGCTTCAGCTTTCATTTATAACTTCCATTGGGAGGAGAACGCACATATTGTCTCTCAAAAATATATTTGAAAGGAAGCTTCATTAATCATCACATGGCCATTTCTTAGCCTTAGTCCCTAAGGTCTGGTAAGCTTTAAATCCCTAGTGACACCTGCTGGGCAGACCTCTGCCCTCGCTGCAGCATTCCATCAGCCTGCCTCTTCTTTAACATGCAAAGCTGCTGGCCAGGAGGTGCAGGGTTGGCTGCAGCTTCCTCAGCTGCTGGCCAGTCTGCTCACTGCTCATGCAGGTGACCCTTGCCTGTGCAGCAGATTCTTAGGGGCCTTGACTTCCTACCTGCCTAGGCCTCAGGAGTCAAACATAGAGCTATTAAGGCAAGAATGGAAAGGGGTGCTGGGTAGGGAAGAGAGAGAGAGAGACAGACAGACAGACAGACAGACAGACAGAAGAGAAAGATCCAACATTAGATACCCGCTAGCCCATCCCTAAGTTACTCAGCTGCTTCTTTGTCTGCAAACTCTGGGGTGAGCGATGCCACTTCAGCCGTATGTTTTGTTCAAGCACAAACCAAATTATGCTATGCTTGCGTCTATCTGAACATATTGGTTTATCTTACATAGAGTTTAATTGATGCAAACTTGAACTTCAGTATGTTAGATTTTCAGGGAAAACACCATCCTGCAATTTAGATTGCTATGTTTTTCTTTGAACAAAGAAAAAAAAAAAAAAAGAGCAAGGCAATTAGAACCCTGCTTCCTTTATTTCGGCCGCACTCTCCAACCACTACAAAAATCATGTTCAACCTCTTGTAGAGTGACTTCTCCTGTCCTTTCCTGTCCAATGGCAAAATTTCTCTCTGAGCCAACAACATCTGCATCCTTAGACAGATGTACTTGTGTGCAAAGTCCGTGTGAGCTGATCAAGCACCGCTTTGTTTGCACTTATTCACTGCTCACCCAGCACTGGGTAAGTGGTTTTGCATATTAACTAAGTGCACAGTAACCTTTCTTTACCTCCTTAGAGCTCCACCCCCTCCCACCCGCCGGGGAAATCAACACTGTTACTCGCTGAGGAAGCTGCCAAGAGGTTGCCATGGCAACTGTTCAGCTTTCAGCAGCTACTTTTCTGGTTTGAAGGGGAGGGGGAGAGGAGGAGAAAGAAAGCACCACACACCCAACAAACTGAGGAGAACTAGGCAGTTTTCTGATCAGAGTTCAGATAAGGAAGGTCAGAGTCATTTGTGGGCACTGACTAAAATAACCCCACGGATGGGAGAGTTACCACATAAGAAGCAAACTAAAACGGTAAGTGCGATTCCAAGGCAATAATTAAGTTATTCAGTAGTGGTCACAAGCCGAAGCAGTTCGAATTTTATCAGCCTGTGTCATCTGAGATGTTATCTCATGAGTCTTTTCGTTTTCATCCTGAGCCAAACAACGATAATTTTTATGGGATTCCAAATGTCAGTGAAGCAGTGCAGGAGGGTAAACTAGCCCCAGAGGGGGGACGCTCACATCTGAAAGTCATTTTCCAGAACTTCATTCAACGCAGGAACAATGCGGCATTGAGGCATAAGGAGCTGGAACTATGTGTAGTGCCAGGTCTAAACACAGCCTCCCAGCTCCTCTCCGTGGGGTGGCTGGCTAGGTGTGCCAGGAGTCAGTCTGGTTTCAAAGGACGGGCTGGGTAGGGTTAGGCAGGAAAGGGGCAGAGAGTCAAGAAATGGAAGTTAAGAAACCTGATGCCAGTGGTTTGCAGAGACACACATAGCGCCTCTCAATAGAGTCCAGACTCCCAGTTCCTCAGCAGAGTAACTCACAGCTCAAGATGACTCTTGGCAGAGAGCGGGAGGGTGGGGCAAGGCTGGGCCCTGAGCGCTAGGGTGGAAGGACTTGGAAACTGTGCCTCATTCTTTTTCCTCTTCTGTCTGTCTGTCTCTCTGTAACACCTGCTCCCGCTAGCCAGCAAGCTTCCCAGCATCCTCTGCATTCAGCTTTCTCCTGCATGATTGAGCCCCTTTGAGAAACAACATAGGAAAACATCCTGCAGAAGCCATTCTAACAGCTACCCCCTGAATCTTGGATATGTTTTTCAAAACTTAGCCGCAGCTACAGCCTCCAGATACATTTAAAGGAACCAATTATGACATAGAGAAAAAAAGAATAAAACAAAACAAAACAAAAAACACGGATGGGGCTGAGCTGTGGAAATTCAATACCATCCCTCCCTGCCACACACACACATACACACACACACACACACACAGAGAGAGAGAGGGAGGAATGCTGTTACTAGCACTTGTTTTCTTTTATATTTTATTTAATTTTTAGGATTTTTTTATGCAGCCCTGGCAGAGTAGTGCAGAAGCACTGGACTCTCAGGTGCCAGGACCTGTTAAAGGAGTTATCATTGTTAAAGGAGTTATCATTGTTAAAGGAGTTATCATTCGGTACCACGATAAGGTATCATATGTTTGACCAAATGCTAGCTAGTTCTTTGCAGGCACCAACTTGTGTTCTATCTTTGCCAAGCTTCCACTTTCTGTGGACTTGCATTTCTGAGTTGATTCTGACAAGCAGAAAATGGTTAGGGTAGGAAAGAAGAGGTTGAAAGGGCCAGGAAAGAAATGTCTATAAATATGGAAAAGATGCAATGACTGAAGCCAATATTCTTCAAGGTGGAGTTCAAAAGTTTACATGATGTCTAAGGTGAAAGTTCTTCACAGATGGCAAGGGACCATGAGACAGAAGTTTGAAGACGTTAAAAAAAAAAAAAAGAACCAGGAACCTATAGATTTTTTTTTTTGGCAAAGTTGTGCAAAGTTCTAAAGACTAAGAAGAACAATAGGTAATGTCAGAAATCTAGCCTCAATGTTGGACGTTTCCCTGTGAAGCTGGAAGGAAGTTCTAAGAGTTAAAGACAGAGTGTAGGCTCCCCTATGTCACTGATGGAGGTAGAGGCCCCATCTTCCATAACACCCCAGGCTACAGAATGATAGTTCCTCAGCCTACAGTAAATGTGATGAGATTATCTTATCAGCCTTGTTCTCCTGAGTATTTCTACAATTGCAGGAAACCATCTGTTAATATGACCTGTCTGCTAGACCCCCACACAGCGCAGGGCATGGATATTAGTATTCAAAGACATTCCTCCCTCAAATGATCTGTTGGAGGCCTACCAAGTTCAGTCTCTGCAGCCAGTTGAGGCCAGGAATGAGAGATGGAGAAATAATAAAGAGGAAGGGATGAGAGAGAGCAAAGAGAAAACTCAGAAATTTGTTGTAACTCAGCCACAGATTCTTTCAACTGACCTGATCTAATTCCAGCAGCGACTCTGTCTGTGAAGCCCTGCCACAGCTGAATTTATTTTTGTTTTGCCTGCTCAAAGGCAGTGTACAGAGAATGCAAGAGCACATCACCTTCAGGGAAAGGACTGCAGAGTGTATTACTCACCGCCCCCGCCCCCCCCAACCCCGTGTGGAAAGGTTAATTTGAATAAGGCTGCTGCTTCCACAAATAGAACAGTAACGGCACACAGAGGGATGGCCAATGAGAAAGGCTTCCAGTGATGTCATACTTATACCTGCTTCTTATTATTTGCTGAATGGTAACAATGTGTTCCTTGAATCTCACATTTCATTGGTTAAGATCGCTGCCATTCTGAGTACTTCTGGAGAGTTTTACGCACTGCAGTTTCTTTACATGCTCAGAATTTTTTTCTTTCAGTTTTTGTACCCCCATCAACTGCTGGAGAGTGACCATTTTAAACATTTTTTCTGAAAGAAAATATAGCGGACTTTATAGTTCAAACCTGACTTATGGGGTCTACGATACTAAATCCATTTAACCTGCAGGAACAGGGTAAGAAAGGATGCTTCATTGGTGTGCCAACTGAAAGAATACCTTGCCTCAGTACTCTCCCATCAGTCTATCGGAAAACAAACTTACGCCGTTTATTTTACAAGGTAATCTTCCACAGAACAGAGCTTTCTTCAAAGAACTAGATATAAACTTTCCTACTGTGTGAGATTGGGGTCACTGGAGAAATCAAGACCTACATGGTTTATTTTTTGTCTTAAGTAGCTTCGACTTTTAAATCAATTAAGTTTTATATCTTTAAAACTTGTGCCTTAGGTCACTCAGGTCCGTGGGCTTTTCCAGGGAACCCCCTGCAAAGATGCTTGGGAAAACCACAGTACCTTGAAGAGAATGTAAATTAGTTGTTCATGACTGAGGCATTAAACCAACCTGCTCAAGGAATGACAGGAACTTTCTGGTCAGCATGAGACACAAGTATGATGGGGAGACCAGAGGTAAATGTTGACATTCAAAAGTCTTGGTGGGCGTTGGTGGTGGTAAGGGAGGTGCAGGGCAGGTCTATCCAGGCAAAGTCAGATCCTCAGAGAAGAGAAGACAAAGGCAAGCTGTCCACACTCAGCTGCTACAGCAGAGCGCAGACACAGAGGTTAATCCATTGTACTGCCAGGACAGCGTATGAAATGCTCCAGTGAGGAGGCCAGGGCACTAAAGGACCAGTTAGCTTCTAATAGGCACAAAGCAAGGCAAGGCGTTCTTCGGGAGGAGGAGAGAATGCTTTGATGATGCCTGCCAAAGACATCCATGACTGGATATATGTATTTTGAGAGAAATGTTGGAAAAAAAAAAACAGGTGCGCAAATTAGCAAAAATGTTTCAAATTAGGAAGAACTAGAAAATACCAAGTGTTTTGATTGGGTTTGATATGTCTGCCTACAAGCTTGTCTGTTTGAACACTCGGTCCCCAAATGCTGCTGTATTGGGAGACTGTCGGGCCTTTGTGGTGTGGTGTCCAGCTGGCAGACACGGGCTGATGTCCACAGGCCTTTGAAGGTTATCTTCACCTCTGGTTTTAGCCTGGCCCTGCATCCGAGTGCGATATGTGAAGAAGTCATACTGTAAGCTCTTATCATAGAGAACAGAGCTGCCTCAGCTGCCAGACCTTCCCTGCTGTTAGCGACTGTACCCTTGAAGCTGTGAGCCAAAATCAACCTTTTTTTTTCAAGTATTCTGCCTCAGTGACAAGAGACGTAACTAGCAGACAAAGCATGCTGAACGTCTACATCTCCATTAAGTAGCTAACATCAAGGGGTTTTGAAATGGAAGGATTTATAGCTACCAACACCATCAGTCACTGTCTTCAGGGTCTGGTGAGAGGTTATGTGGATGGCATAGCATTGTGATTTTTCACTGACGACACCACCCCGACACCTAAAGCTCAGGGAATATTACAGAAGAGTGACTGGGAAGAGCCAGAGGACCATGACGTCTGTTTTACAATTGTGTCTTCTAGATACGACTGCGAAGCTGTACCTCTAAAAATAACAAACACAGGGTTGCCTAAGTAAGCTATGTACAAATGAGAACATCAGTTGACAGTCAAAGACGGATGGGGAACTTGCCCAAGCTCCACCCTTAGACGAAGAGCTACTAATGACTCTTCAGAGAGGTAAAGTCAGTCTTCTCCAGGGACAAGCCTCCTGATAGGTGGTTCAATCCCATGTGGTCAGTCCTAAACACATTCACATCGGAGCAAACCAAATGGATGCAGACGATGTTTACACACACACACACACACACACACACACACACACACACACACACACACACCACAGCAACAAAGAGAAAGCCATGCATTTGAGCATTTGAGAAAGATTTGTGGGGGATCATGGGGTTGAAGGAGGGAGGAAAGGGGGAGAAAATGATGTAAATATAGTTCTCATGTATGTTATTCTAAAAAAAAAACTTAACTTTTTTTTTTTTATTTTCTCATACCATAAATAAACACATGTACGAACACTGCATATTTACTGAGGTCCTTACTCTGGCAAGAAAACACTGATTTTTCTTCAGGACTTTTTTCAAGAAGTCTGGCTGAATTTTCTCAAACAGCTTTTCTCCATGTGTTGTTAAAATGGTCATATAAATTCTGTCCTTAAATCTATTTATATGATGCATTGCATTCATTGTTTTGTGTATGTAGAACCAACCTTGCATATATGTGATAAAATTGACTTTGTAATGAATGTGATTTTTTTTTGAGATGACATTTCCCTATGTAGCCCTGTCTAAAATAGAACTTTGAACTATTTACCTGCATCTGCTTCCCCAGGGTTGGCATGCCAGGCAACTGTGATTTTCTTTTTTTCTTTTTGTGTTTTTTGAGACAGGGTTTCTCTGTGTAGTTTTGGTTCTTGTCCTGGATCTCGCTCTGTAGACCAGGCTGGCCTCGAACTCACAGAGATCCACCTGGCTCTGCCTCCCAAATGCTGGGATTAAAGGCACACTGGCCCCTTCTTTCTTTCTCTCATTTCCTGACCATCATGAAGTAAGCAAATTATTCTCTTGTGTTCTTCCCGGGGTCTACTGCCTCATCATAAATCCAAAATCAATAGGCCAACAATAAAACCCCTAAAACCTGAACCAAAATAACCCTTTTCTCTAAGTTCATTATCTCGGGTTTCTTTTGTTGTCTAGTTTTTTGTTTTCATTTATTTGTTTGTTTGTTTGTTTGTTAAACAGGATCTCACATGCACCACTACTACCTGGCATGATTTTCTTAATATGTTCTTGAACTAAGTGTGCAAACATTTTGTTGAAAAAATTGCATCTATGTTCATCATAAACATTTCTCTGTAGTTTTGAGGGTGTGTTGATGTGTGCAATCTTTGCTTTTGTCTTTACAGAATGAGTTTGGTAGTATTCCTTCTTTTACTTCGATTAATTTCTGAAACAGTTTGAGAAGAATGAAGTTAGAGTCCTCTTCTTAACCTCACAAAAATCAATTCAAAATGTGTCAAACATATAAATTTAGCACTTGAAACATGGGTGTCAGGAACAGGAGGTATTGGGTGGTGGGAGGATGGAGGGAGAGGACAGGGAGAGACAGCTGGAATTGGGGGTCATCTCAGGGATACACTGGAAATCTAGTGCGATGGAAACTTCCTGGAATCTACAAGGATGGCCCTAGCTAAGACTCCTAGAAATGAGGGATACAGAGCCTGAATCAGCCATCTCCTGTAACCAGGCAAGGTTTCCTGTGGAGGGACTGACACACGAAACCAGCCACACAACCTTCAATTTACAATGTGTCCTTTCTACAAGATGTCCTGGGGTAAAGGTGGTACAGAAATGGTGAGAGTGAGCAACCAATGACTGGTCCAGCTGGAGACCCATGACACAAGAGGAGACCCATTGCTGACACTCCCTGAAGGGCCAGGGCCCAGAGGCTGGATGGCCCACAGATCTAGGATAGAACCAAACACCACGATCGGGGGAAAAAAGGGGAAAGAAAGCCAATGAAATGATTTCTAAAGATATTCTGCTATACCCATAGATTGGTGCCTAGCCCAGTTGTCATCAGAGAGGCTTCATCCAGCAACTGGTGGGATCAGGTGTAGAGTCTCACAGCCAAACAGTAGGTGGGCTCCAGAAATCCTTTGGAAGACAGGGAAGGAAGGACTGTAGGAGCCAAAGGGGTCAAGGACACAAGAAAACCCATAGAATCAACTAACCTGGGCTCATAGGGGCTCATGGAGACTGAACCTACAATCAGGGAGCCTGCATGTGACCTAGGCTCTCTGCATATATCTGATAGTTGTGTAGTTTGTTATTCTTGTAGGACTCCTAACATGGGAGCAGGGGCTGTCTCTGACTCTTTTACTGGCTTTTGGGACCCCACACTGGGTTGCCTTGTCCATCCTTAATGTGAGGGGAGGTGCCTAGTCTTACTGGGAAGAGAGGAGGGAGGGGAAACTGTGGCTGGGATATAAAATGTTAATAATAACAATAATTACCAACATCAATAAAGCCTGAAATATTAGAACTGGAGGAGGAAAACACTCCCTCACATAAGCACAGGCAATGATTTATTGGACAGGACATGCAATAGTATAACAAAGAACCCCAAAACTGACGAAGGAGATTACAGGAAAATAAAAACCCCTGTACGGCAAGGAAAACTAGCAGCAGAATGAATAGGCAGACTATAGAGTGGGGAAAATCTTTGTCAACTGTATTTCAGACAGGGAGGCTAATATCTAGAATACATAAAGAACTACAAAAATTATACATACACACACATTCTTGCACACCAATGAATAAATGAGATAATGAACTAACTAGGGAAATCTCAGAAGAAGAAATAAATCTTTAAAAACATATTCAACATATATAGCCACAAAGAAAATGCAAATGAAAACTACTTTGGGATTCGACGTCACCCCCACCAGAATGGCTAAGATAAACAAGACACAATTGACCACAAATGGTGGTGAGGATATGGAGAAAGAGGAACATTTATTTACTGCTACTGAGAAGATGAATTATGCAGCCATTATGGAAACCAGTATAGTGGTTCCTCAGAAAACTAGAAATAGAACTACCAACGTGACCCACACTCCTAGACACATATTCAAAGGATTCTACATCCCACAACAGAGATATTTACACCCATGCTTGTCACTGCTGTATTCACTGTAGCCAGGAAATAGTTTCAACTTGAATTTTCATGGATAGATGAAGAGGTAATGGCAATGGAATACATGGACATGGAACTTAATTTAGTGATAAACAAAAGTGAAATTATTACATTTACAGGGAAATTGATGTATCTGGATATTATTATAATAAGTAAGATAACCCAGATTCAGAAAGACAAATACTTCATATTGTCTCTCATACACAGTTATTAGCCTCTAATTTTTAAATATGTGTATAACTGGGAATGGTAGCACATGTCTTTATTGCCAGCATTTGGGAGGTAGAGGCAGGTGGATCTCTATGAGTTTGAGGCCAGTCTGATCTATACAGCAAGCTCCAAGTCAGCCAAGGCTACATAGAGATACCCTATCTCAAAAACAAAAGACCAACAAAACAGCAACATAAATATGTGTATGTGTGGGTGTGACTTTGGATAGGAGTCATGGAACTAGACAGGCTCGTGGAGAGGAAACAGAATACACATGACATGGAAGTAGAAAGGAGACTTGTGGAGGTGGTAATGTACACGTGAGAGGGTTGGGGATGGGGAAGGAAGATCTCATCAAAGCAAACTTTGCATGAGAATGCCTTGGCAACATCTATTCCTCTGTAGACTATAAATAAACACGTAAAATGAGTTTGAAAGTTGTGAATTTTAATTTGGTAAAGAGTGGAGAATAAAATTCTAACATCCTGTTAAATTTAGAAGTCCCTGGAACTTCACAATATTTTTACCACTGAAGTGCGTGTACATTTAATATGAGAGATTTGCCTATAGTAAGAGCCTGAAAATGAATGTGATACATTTGTATCCCAATTCCAGCATCTGCTAGCTGTGACTTGACCATGGTAGTGAATCTCTCTATGCTTCAAGTTTCTTGAAAGATGCTAGCAGTACTCAGGTATAGAAGATTTATTTGTTATCTTAACATTGTGACCCCGAGGATTTTTAAGGACTCACATGGTTTGTCTTCAGCCTAGCCATTTTCTCTGTATCCCTCTTAGTCTACGGCTGCCAACCTAGCCTTTCTGACACTTGTCGAACATGTCTGTTATCCTCATGCCTGAGGAACTTTGTCCTGCTAGTTTCTTTTATTTGGAATTCTTTGCCGACTGACCATACTTTCATTACTTCATTCAATTCTCAGTTCAAATATTAAAACTCTGGACTGACTTAACACCTGTTGAAAATGTTGTTCCTGGTGCTTTCTTTACCTCACATCTCAGTTGTGCTTCTTAATTAACAATCTTTGCTACTTGACATTTCTTTATGGCTCTGTATTTTGATTTGTTTATTTTTTTTGTGGTAACACATATATGTGATACAATAACTAACAAGAGGATCTGAATTTTCCTGCCTTGTTCTAAGAAAGAGGTAATTTTTTTTCTTATTGATGTGAGACTTTGTCCATCATAGATAAGGATTAAATTACAGGGCCATGAGTCTATATAGTCCCAATATTCTTTCCACAAAGGGAGCCACTGTTCCTAAGAGTAAATGAGGAAGGGAAACTGGACCAGCCGTCTAGAAGGGGTTGCAGGGTCATCCCTTGGTGGAATCGGAAAAGCTGGTGTGTCTTGTTTTGATTTCTCTCCTACCTTTCCCAAACACACTCATAGTGGCTCTATTTCTCAGAAATTGTGGGATCTTATCTGGGACTCTAAGTCAGTAAGAGAGAAAGATAGTAAACACAAGAATGGTAGGCATTCTCAACACACACATACAAATTTAATGGAGAGAAGAATACAATTTTCGAAGAGTATTTTAAGATTTTTTTTCCCATTCTGCCACTCTCTGGGTCAATTGTTATGGTAAAATGAGTACAGGGTATTTCTATTTCCCCAGTAAACCAGGGTCAACATAAGATGAAATAGAGCTTAAGCACTACCTTTGCTGATATTCCAAATGGACAGTTCAAATGCCACTGGGTTAGCTTGGACTTCTCACTGTTCCTTAAAATACCAAATTTGAAGGAACATCTGCCATTTACATTTCGGCTATGTTAGCACCTATGGTTTCCTCTTCTAAAATGCGCCCCCCCCCTCCATTGTCCAGCATTGGAGATTGAATCCAGGGTCTTGTGTCTACCAGGCAAGTGTACTACCACTAAGTTAAATGTCCTGCCCTAGAGACTTCTTAATATAATGATAAAATCATGACCAATAAGGATGCTTTTGAAAGCATAAAGATTTGTGGTTCAAAATTAATTGGCTGTATTCTGACCTACCTCTGCACGATGTTCATTTTTAGTTCTTTTAGTTAAGTGCTGGTTAAGTTATAAAGTATAAGTATTCATCCAGAAGTCATGGGGTCCTTTTAAAAATCGGGTTGTTTTTTAGGACATCTGAAGTGGGAGGATTCAAGTTTCCAACAGTGTCCCAGGTAAAGCCATGCACTGGGCTGTCCACTGTGCTCAGAACAGTAGGAATTTAGAATATAGATGACATAACACCTCATTTGGATCTACTGTTTCAAATCTGCATCAAGATTTTTGAAGTTTGAATTGCTCTTCCAATTCATCCCCATCCATTTCATTGCATCTGGGGCCAGAGAACCTACTCTGAGTGGTGCTCATGTCTAATAGGTAAGCAAGCCTTTGAGAATGCTTCTCAGACACCATCTCCTTGCAGGAGCCGGACCCCCTCCTTCCCCCCCCCCCCCCCCCCCCCCCCCCCCCCCCCCGTCCCTTACAGCAGCTGCTTTGGCTGAGAACCCTCTGACCTTTCCCTGCAAAGCTACAATGACCTTCAACTCATACCCCAAGCCCTGTCCTTACCTTCCTGTACTTGATCATCTTATATCCTGTTACCTTTTCTCTTTTAAGAAAATACTTTGATGATGTCATTCCTTTGATTAAAGACCCCTGCTGGTTCCCTTGCTTAAAATAGAGGTTTGGTTGGCATATAGGCCTAGTGGCCTGACATAGTTGGGCTGGAATCCAAACAGCTCCAATTTCTTGGTACATGACCTTGGACAAGCTGCTTAGCTTGTGGAAGGCACACTTTCCTTATCCATAAGATAGAGGTGGTATTGCTACTCATTTCAGAGTGCTACCAGATGAAATCAGATAACTAAATTTTCTAGTGCTATGCTAGCCACAGGAGATGTTTAAAACTTATCCACCTTGTCATTTTCCTTCCAGTATGGTGGGTTTTGCTTTCCTGTATTATATGACCCCTCTTGAAGCCCTTCTTTCCTATTAACTGCTGAACACATGCATTTTTGGCTATTCCGAATGTCTCATTTCTTGATTGATCTATTGACAGACCCTTCCCATCCTCAATCCAATGAATTCCCTTGGATTTATCTCCTTCTATCAGCCTAAAAAGTGCACATTTGTACTGGGGAACATTTACTAATTTTTTCTTTTTCTTCTCTTTTTCAATAGTCTTCCCTGACCACTGTGATAACAGCTCTCCATATTACATTTGCTGCAATGTGCTCTTATGACATGGTGTGATTTACACTCAGATGGTGCACGCCCTTAATCCTAGCACTTGGGAGACATCTGAGTTCAAGGCCAGCCTTGTCTATAGAGAGAATTCTAGGACAGCCAGGGCTACACAGAGAAACCCCATCTCAAAAAGCAAAACAAACAAATAAACAAACTGATAAATAATTACATTCCATTTTCTCTGTATATGAAAATAAGTCTAAGAGTATCCCTAGAGCTACAGAGCATTCCCAGGAGTTTAAACTACAAATTCCTCCTTTCTAGCAAATTTTAATTATTTTATTCAGGACTCATTTTGAGTGTTTTCTATAGACTACCTCATGTTATTCCCTTGACCATTCTTTGTTGTAGGTGTTATACTATTCATAGACTTGGAAACAGGTAGCCTGGAGGGCTATCTGTCATGGCTCCAACTGTATAATTATTACAACAAGGGTTTGAACGTGTGCCTTTCCTATGTTAACATCTCTCTTTTACAGAGTACTATCTTATGAAATTTGTTGCTTTAGTCTGGTTACAATATCTTCCTTAATATAGACTAAAGTGTGAGTAGAGATCTGCCTCGGGAAGAATTTATGAGGCAGACAATGGCAATCTCTTGCAGGCATCATATGTTCAAGTGGTTTGGAGCTATCAGCACAGAGATAAAAGGGAACTCAGAACTGTACAATGCTAAACTCTGGCCACCCAGAAAATCCTTTCATTTTTACTCATTATTTGTTTGGAAGACACTACAGAGCAATCTTGCCTCCGAGGAAAACTATTTTATAGGTGCATTTTTTACTTTCAAAGTTTCCAATTTTGTCACGCAATCGTTTCACAGGAGATCCTGACACAGAGAAGTCTCTGGACGGAATCGCACAGAAGAGCTCATTCCTCTGGACCAAGAGAAAAGAAATCAAGCTAGAGACAAGGCACATCCTGTAAGCATCTCTGTGCTGTCCCATCGTGGCAACTACTCTAACATGCTGCCCAAATATTTTCAGCACAGAACTTTGGTCTACAAGTGCTTATAGTTACAAGGAATAATTCTATACCTATCTGCCTCTGTAGTTGACACATTTGTAGCTGGTTAAGTACCTGGAATTTAAAAAAATGTTTGAGACCTCTTTTTAAACCAACTGTAAACTTTTAGAAAAATTTTAAAGTGGGACTCTGGAAAAATAGATGGGATTAATCCATTCATTTTTTTTAATCCATCCATTTTAATGGTGGGGTTAAATATCAGCTTTTGAGGACTTTGTACATGAGTGTGCACTGTTATCCACATTTCTCCCATGCCTTGCCCAAACTCCTTGTGTGTCCCTCTCCCAAATTCATGATCTCTTCTTTAATTATTATATATACATATTATGCACGCACATATTGCAACTTACTGAATCCATTTAGCCTTGCTAATATGTATGCACATGTGTACAGGATTAACCACCTGGTTTTGGGCATCCTATGTGGGAGCTTGTCTTTAAAGGAAACTAATTCTCCCTCTCTCAGAAGCCATTGGCTACCAGCTCTTCATCCACGGGAGGGACCACATACAATTTCCCTGTCATATTGGCATGTCAACTGGTGTCATAATTATATTGATCTTATTTAGGAAACTATGCTTTTAGATTTCATGGGTACATTTCCCCTGCTATACCTAGGGCAAACTATCTAGCAACAGATATTCCTGGTCTCTGGTTCTTACAGTCTTTATGCCACCCTCCCACCCAGAAGAACTCAAACTATCCCCACTTTCAGATAATGTAGTAGACATAAAAAAAAATCCCAAAAATTCTATTAGAAAACTTCTAGAAATGATCAATACTTTTAACAAAGTGATAGGAAAAAAATGAACTTAAAAAAACCAGCAGCCTTCCTATTCCCCAACAATAAACATGTTGAAAAAAAGATTGTGAAAACACTCCTATTTATAATAGCCTCGAAGTATCTAAGAATTATCCTAACCCAGGAGGTAAAAGACCTTTAAAATGAAAACTTTAATTCTCTGAAAAAGATTTGGAGATACTAGAAGATGGAAAGACCTCCCACGTTCATGGATTGGAAGAATTAATATTGTGAAGATGACCATCCTATCAAAAGCGAATTATAGATTCAATATAATAACCCCAAGTCCCCATCACACTCTTTACAGAAATAAAAAAAATCATCCATTTTCTTTCTAATCTTTTGGAAACTTCTCAAACCCAAAGGTATCCAGCATTCCAGCAGAACTGCGGGATTTACATAGAAGATATTGAGGTCTGGAATATACTAGACTTTCAAGAAATAGGATATTGTTTCCTAGGGATAGCTTAAGGCCTAGACAGGGTCACATACTCCACAGATAAACACTGAGTTTAAAAAGCAATCAGTGTCTTTGCTACTAGAGCCCGGATCCTGACTCTCCTGGGAGAGTGGGGTTGCTGTATTTTCAATTTGTTTTGTAAAAGGAGAATCCCACAGTATCTGCAGATACAAATGCAGATTTGTACAGATGCAAAACAGACATGTCTGTGTAGCTGTAGTGCTGTGTGCATCGGAAGCTTGTCCCCTGGGCTTTCCATAGGTTATGTCCAGCTGGAGGCTAACATCCTACTCACTGCTGTAAACAATTGTAGCATCCTTGTGCAGACTGGATATGCAGAGCCTACTTCAAAATACAGAGAATAAAAGATAAATGAAACTTCGATATGACTCACTAAGCCAACAGATTCCTATAAATATAAAGAGAAAATTAAAAAAATAAAACATCTTACATAGCACCATACACAACTTGAGTTGAGTGAATTTCCTTGTGTAAGTTTGACATTTTATATTTTATTCACAGTTAACATGGCTAACTTTCAAGTGATGTGAACTTATTACAAGTGATAACACTGATAAAAATGGGAAAGTTTAAATTTTACATATTTAGACATTTGTGGTATCTTAGCAATCAGGATATCAAGGGTCCTATGTCACTGTGTGGAAATCATGTATTTTAAGTACTTCTGCATGTGGTCAGGTGGGATTAAACTAACCATGGTCTATTAACTGTAGCAGCAGAAGCACTGTGGAGGGCTGTATGCTGGCATGTTCTGGTTCTGTCATATTCTTGATAAACCTGTCTTCTTTCTCTGCACATCTCAGGGTTAGATGTCACACCTCTTTGCAGTATATGAATGCTTTCTGAGAAAAATTCACTAAACGCAATGGGAGTAATAAATGATGCGTCCAAGAAAAGAAAAGGACATGGACTTCGATGTGCAGACTGATGTTGATTACAAAATGGAACAGGTATCACATGGAATGTAATTCTTCAGCTTGACTAGCGGTGCTTCAAAGGCTGCATGTGGCAATTGGTTTCTGCATGGAATGTGTCAGTCTGGGCCATCTCTACCACCGTGAAACGTTCAGTTAGAACCAGTGTTGATACATGAATTTCATACCTGGGAGTCCGGCGATTAGAAATAGGTAAGAGAAAAGAGAGTAAGGTTTTGTCAGTAAGTGGTTAGTTTGCAAAATTACTAAAGTTGAAGAAGTACAATGTCTTGAATTCTTTGGAATTTCAGAGCTCTTGATAAAAAGAAATTTATGCTTAATAAAAACAAAGCATAAAAATGCAGAAATAGAGGGGAAATTATGGTAATCTGCTAACCTCTAGTTCTGTATCAAGGGTATTTTTGCTGCTCAGCTTCCACTGTGGAGGAAAGGAATGGGTCTGTTTGTTTCTCAATGTATCATTTTCATAGCTACTAAAATCAAGAACTTCTGTGTTCACATGGCTTCACAGCAGTTCACTTCCAAGAGAGCCACCAGTCCACTTTGTTTGTTCAAAGACTAGAGTGAAAGCAAGCCAAAAGACCAGAATTCCCCACAGGGAAAGAGAAAGTACCATAGTGGTTGGGGCTGGGACCAGGGCAGAGAGATGTTAGAGGTATGGGCTGAGAGTATTCATTGTGTAGTGCCAGTGGCTTTGGGGATGCAAATGGGCATTGGAAAGATATTAATTCCCATTAAACTAAAAAAATGGAATTACTTTAAAAAATGAAACAATAGAAGTATGCTATCATTTTACAATTTCACTTCTGGGTGTACAACATAAAGAAGTGAAATCAGAGCTGCTTGGTGGTGATGGTGCACGCCTTTAATCCCAGCATTTAGGAGGCAGAGGCAGGTGGATATCTGAGTTCAAGACCAGCCTGGTCTATAAAGTGAGTTCCAGGACAGCCAGGGCTGTTACACAGAGAAACTGTCTCCTGAAAAACCAGAAACAAATCAAATCAAAACAAAACAAAACAAGTGAAACCAGAATAATGGTTGGTGACTAAGGTCACTGTCTGATCTTTCAGTGGACCTGGGTCCAATTCCCAGCATCCACATGGCATCTTACAACGGTCTGTAACATCAGTTTCAGAGGATTAGATATCTTCTTCCGGCCTCTGATGGCATCAGGCATGCATGTTGTACACAGAGACACATGCAGGCAAACACCAGCACACATTACTATGAATAAATAAAAATTAAACACAGAAGAGGTAGCTGTTCTATGTTTGTTGAATAGCCAAAATGTAGAAACTACCTAAATCTCAGTCAGCGAAATAAAGCAGGCACACCAAGGCACAGCCTGCATGATTGAATTCAACAGTGGAACCTAAAGGAGTAGTCTCTTAAAGGTAGAGAGTAGAATAAGGTCTAGGGAGGGTGCAGAAGGAGGAAGGGGTTGATTAATATCTTGCAGGACTGCAGAAATAATGATAAATGGTCCTGTTAGCCAGTGGGTGTAATTCTGCTGTTTTACTGCACAGTAGAGTGACTGTGGTTAACAATATTGTAGTGACTACTTCAAGATAGCTATAAAAAAACAAACAAACCCAAAACATTTGAATCTTCCAGACAGTATTTTGGTTTGAATGCTGAATATTCTTACAGGATGGTTACACTGTGTGAACATATACTAAAACATTATGCTCTCACCCACAAATATGTTCAGATTTATAACAAGAATAAAGAGAAGGTAGGCTACAATATTTGGTGCTATGGCCAAAGAAAATTCAGGTTGAAACTGATAAAAAAAAATGACTGGACCAGAGTTTGCTGGAAGACCACTGATTACTACCTTTTTGTTGTTGTTATTCTTAAGCAAGAAAATAAAAGAGGACAGCATGTAAAATAACAAAATACAACATCAAAGGAATTATGTTGAGAAAGTATCACATTGGTATGTAATTTTAAATATGAAAAAGTTCAAAGTTAACATTTTAGTGTTAAAAATATCTAATTACATCTTTGCTGATTTAAGATTTGGGAACAATGTCAAGTACAATCTTTTTATGAAGATGCAAAAATTAAGAAGTTTTAGAAATCTAAAATTACCTTAGTATTTAAAACTTGGAGGATAATTATTCAACAAATATTTGCTGAATCCCATCTTCATGCTGAACATTGCTGTGGACACTGGGGAAGAAAGTATGAGCTATGCCAAGCTCGTGGATGAAGCCTGCTTTCCAGTGGGAAGACAGACAATAAACTAATCAGCAAATCAACAACTATATAGAATTTTAGATGTTTCTATGTGTTCTGAAATAAATAAGGAAGTCCAATGAGACCAAGAATATTAGGAATAGCAAGTATTGCTAACTGATCATGAAGGCTGCTATGTTCTATAATGTTGAGAACTGCATGAAAACATGTTTTACCACAGAACTGAAGGAACCTAGAGTCTGGATGTCATCATTTGGATGAACTCGTCAGGGCATACAAGTTAGTTTATGCAAGCATCCTCAGGTGGATGCATGCTTTGACTGTTTGATAAACAGCAAGTGTTGTGTGGCTGGAACTAAGTGAATAAAAAAGGAAGGAAAGGTACTGAGACCTTCCAGAAAGGAGAAGCAGAGAGCCAATGACATTCTTGGCCTTTGTAAGGAGTTGGGCTTTTATGAAAAGGATGGGAAGACATTGGCCAATTCTGAATGAGAAAAAAAAAAAGAGGAAGAAGAAGAATGTTATTTGACCCAGGTTTTGTAGGTGGCTTTCTGTCCTTTGAATCTATCCTGTCTTCTTCCTGAGAACCTTTTAATTTTTTTTTTTTTTGCCTCATAAATTGTAATGGGCTACACAACTGTATTAACTATTGTGGGATTCTTCCAGATTTTAGACACATTTAATCCTTTCCTTCCTCCCTCCCTCTTTCTTTCTTTCTTTCTTTCTTTCTTTCTTTCTTTCTTTCTTTCTTTCTTTCTTTCTTTCTTTCTCTCTCTCTCTCTCTCTCTCTCTCTCTCTTTCTTTCCTTCTCTCTCTCTCTTTCTCTCTCTTTCT